GAATGATATATGGTAAGAGTTCAAGTTCAATGAAGTGACTTTCGAGTGTACAGAACGATCCAACACCTCAAGAACACGAACATGACATTTCTCAAGACGTCATTTAGCTGAACAATTCCATTCACTCTATAACAAGTTCACGAAAATCACATCAATTTATCTATTGACTTGACCTTTACATACAGAATAATGATATACAGTAAGAAGGCAAGACGAAATATCAGATACTTGGATCATTTGGCACAAGATTTCAGCTAAATATGGGGGAATTTCTTTAGTTGAATATTCACAGCTGAGCTCTTGACTGTACTAACTTGTAACTAAACAATCTCAACACGGTTTAATTAACGTGATGATGCTTTCATAGGCCATAGCTCTTAGAGTTGTGTGCATCAGAAGGTGATAAATAGACAGACGGAAAAGAAGCAGAGAATATCAGGCTAGCTGAGCATATTAATGCTGAAAATGGGGAGGCGTAACAAATGGAGAAAAATTGGACCTAGTTAATGAGCTCAAGTCTAAGTATATATGAATGACCTGATTCCTTGCTTTGTTAAAATAACAGAGCTAAATTTTTCATCAACTTCCATTACATTGTGACAACATACATCAAGGATACCTGAATTTTGTGGCTAACTAGCTAGTAACAGGGAAAGCAAAATACCATTACTAAATAAAGTTGAACATCCAATTACATGTAGTGACATTCAGTCCTTCACAATATTCCACAAATTCAGATTAGCAGTCCACATTTAATTAGGACAACTAGCTCTGAATTTCCTGACATATGCTTGTTGTCTTGGTTAGGACAACTAGCTCTCAGTGGAGATGGTAGGTCGTGTTATGGAGAAAGAGTAAGTGATAGCCTCGTAGGAGGCGGAAAGAGGAAGAGGATGAGGTAGGCGTACTCCAGCTGGTAAGGAAGAGCTCGAAGAGGTTGAATCAAGAGATCTGGTGCTGCTCGTCTTGATTTGGTGTAACCAGAGTAGTCAATGCTGCTCAAAACATGGATGGATCAAAGGCAGATCACATTTTTCTTCCCCCAATAAAGCAAAGCTATCAGCAAAACTGAACAACTTGATGTTGATCTCAAATTTAGTCATTTGGTTACACTATCCATTTTATTTTCAAGTATTTAATCAGCAATGCCTCCAGTGTACAATGTACGGTGAGTATGCTCCTATTTATCTCTGATACTAATTTTCTTGAGCAATTCAACTGTTGGTATTAATTTCAAGAAGTATGTGCATGGGTAAAACCAATGCTTATTATATGAAAACTAGGACGCCAAATAGGGTATTACCTTTATGGCTTTTCTCAGTAGACTGATATGCAATAAAGGTTACCTTTGGGAAAGCAAAGAAAATTTATACGTCATAACAACATTTTCCATGTTTTCCATCAGTTTATTTTAGTGTTCTATGCAAGATATGGTAAGATTTTCCGGAAATTTATACGTCATAACAACATTTTCCATGTTTTCCATCAGTTTATTTTAGTGTTCTATGCAAGATATGGTAAGATTTTCCGGTAGAATTAAAATATTAATATGATATCTCATTCATTTTTCCTCAAATTCTTTTTCTATTGCTGATTGCAAGAGATACACTTGGATAGCTACAAAACTCAAAATTCAAAACTCCCCATCTAGAAACAAGAGGTATCCTAAACAATGAATAATCTACTAAAGGTACCTTTCAGATGTAAGAGAAACAAAATCTCTGTAGCACAAGAATTATCAAGGCCAGAGAGCAAAGAACCCTGACCATTGCTAAGCAGCAACCACCTCTTGAGCACGTCTAGACTCCAACCATGATGTAGCTGCAACCTTTGTAGTCAAAAACCACCCAGCCTTATCAGGTGCCTCATGGAATGGAGCGTTTAATTCCTTAAGGTGCGACTCAAATACACCTGCCAGACCTTTCTCGGAATATTTATGTTTTCCATGTCCTGTGTTGATTCCAAGCAATGATGGGAACTCTTCCCCACTTTCAAGTGCTTTGTTCAAGTCATTAACCCAGATGTGCAATGCTGTTAAAGCTGCCCCAAGTGAGAGGCTCTTCAAATGTAAAGACCACTGAGTAGCAGTTCGAGACATAATATCCGTATAGATGTTGAGAGTTAGTCCAACATCTAACAACTCACAAGCTCTCTCCAACTGGTTAAGATTGACACATATGTCAATCAAACAGTTACAGTAAGCTTTCCGGACATCCATAGTTGCACAATCCAAAAGTTCAGCAGCATGTTTCTTAAAAGCCCCTTCTTCTTCTTCAACTTCATCATCCACCAGGAATTTCACCACGTAACCAAGCTTCGGATTTGCCCTCTCAAGGCAGATAGTTAGCTTGTGAAGGTCTTCCTTTGCTGTTTGTGTCAAAACATTAAGAAGACAACCGGTAAACCGCTCATCTGCAGATAATCCCAAATCTGACAGCCTATCGAAAGTTCTTACTACATCATCTGTCCGACCTGCTTTTCCATAACACTGAATAAGCGAGGTCAAGACAAAGATATTCGGTTCAAACCCTGCTTCCATCATCTCATTCAATGTGAATTCCGCCTCCGAGACCTTCCCACTACAAGAGAATATGGTGATTAGAGAAGAGTATGTCCAGCTGTCAGGTTGGCAAGTCTCTGAGGCCGAGCTTTTCATCTCCTCAAAAATGTTAACAGCCTCATCCGTAAGTCCGACATCAGCACACATTGCCAAAAGTGTATTATATAGTACCACACTCAACTCCAATCCCTTCTCCTTCATTTCTTTATAGATTTTAAGAGCATCTTCACTATAACGAGCCCTACCATAAGCCCGAATGAGTGAAGCATAGGTACCCCAACTTGGTTGAAATCCATTGCTTAGCATTTCCCCATAGATGTTCTTTGCCTGCCATGGCCTCCTAGCTCTTCCCATAGCATCCAACAAACTGTTATACACAGTCATGTTAGGCTTTACACCGAGCGCTTTCATTTCCTCGTACACATTCAAGCACCCATCAAAATTCCCCGCAGCCCCATAAATCCTAATCAACGTCGCAAATGTCACAGCATCTATACGCCATTTCTCTGTTCTCGCACGATCATACAAACTCAATGCCATATCTACATTACCAGCCTTACCATAAGCATCAATCATCACAGAATACGTAACATCATCGGGTTCACACCCAAAAGATGGCAACTTTTCAAACCATTCAATAGCTTTTTCAGGCAAATTACACTGCCTAGCACAACTAATAATAGTCGAGAAAGTAACATTATCAGGCTTTACCCCTCTCTCAAGCATTTCATCAAACACCTTCTCTGCTCTATCCAAATCCTTATTTTTCCTCAAAACTTTCAGCGTCACATTATACACAATTACCTCTTTGCTCAATTTCAACCTTTGTTGAAAATACTTCATCGCCAGCAACGCAGTTTCAGCATTAGTCATGTTATTCAAAGTCACAACAGCATCTTGCTCTACTATTTTGTCACCCAAATCAGCTAAAACATTAAAAACATCTTCTTCTACAGGTTTACAAGAATCCAAAGACTCAGCCACTTTCATTAGAGAAGCATACCTGAAATCGTAAGACTTCCGCTTCAGCTCAGAAGCTCGGGGGCTTTTGGGGTTGACCCAAAGCTTGCTTTTTGATGAAGAAACAGCTTTTCTATCTGAGTATTGAGAATTATTGGGATTTGATACCTGGGATTGTTCTTGAAGTGACACTTGGGTCGTTCGGATACAAGATTTGGAGTAAAATTTGAGGGGAAAAGTGAATTTTTGGGGAGAATTGAAGTTGCAGAAGATATTGGATTCATAGAGAGGAGAAAGTGTAGAGCTTGGAGTAGACGCCATTTTCTTGGAGCAAAGCTTTAGCGTTGCCGCCCGCCTTATCAACTATGGTGGAAGAGGTGAAATTGATCAAAAAGGATTGACATATTGCCCCTTAAAAGTTTAGGATTATGAACAATTTACCCCCTACACTTTTGAAATAGTCATTTGAAAACTATTTCAAGTAAATGTGGATTCCCTATTATTTTTTTCTAGACAAATTTAGTTCCTTTAATATCATTGTGAATTCGGTTCAGACGTTGGATACCTATTCAGAAGTTATCACAATTCTAGAGGCTTGATCGAATCAAGCTTCTACAATTTGAGAATCTCTTTGTTGAATGGCTTGTGCTTCTCGGTCGGAATCAAAGATTTGACCTTTTCGAGTTCTGTTTGTGACTCACTTGAGGCCCGAGAAATAAAGAAAAGTTGTGTATGAACGAGATATTCAGTAACAAAAAGAAGGAAAATGACTAAATAGAGAAACTCTCGAGCATTTAGCGATCTCAAATGTGAAGTTGTCTGATGGAAAACTAATTGCATGTTCGGTTTAGATAGGACTTTTTATGTTGAAAATTTCTCGTTCCTTTTCATGTGAACTTCTCAACGAATTATTTCAAACTTGAGGGGTCCTATGTATTCCATCTCTCGAGCCACGAAGAAAATCCCCTCATATCTTTAGCATATGATAAGATAGGAAATTTCCCATATTATCCTTTACAAACCATAGTTTGTAATGTGTTTCTTATTGTCATAGTTTCAACAATAATTAACTTCCTAACCGATTGCATTGGAGAGCCAAAAGAATGAAACATCAAACCACGAGTTGTTTTTCAAAAAAAAATCCCAAATATTGAATACTTATAACTCTAATTCTAGAACAATTAGGCTTAATTAGTCGTACAATACTTTTTTTTCTCCAACCAAAATAACAATCTTATAACTTATTTTATGTGGAAACTTAAGTATCTTCATTGAGTGGTACCCAAATTGGAATTAGAAGGATTTTCAATTGAACTTGTTAAATTTTTTGAGAAATTAGACCACTAGTAATGTTGAAAAATGACATTTATTAATCAATCAAGGCTTTGCCAACAATCTAGTTAACAACTTTTATGCTATTTTACAAAAGAAAATTAACTATACATTGTTTATTATTTATAACAATTTGTAAAGAAAAAAAGACAACCACATTAATAGAAGCCCACATTGATGAGCCCAGACATTGAACCATAACAATTGGGCCACCTTACGTAATTGAGCAACCATTAGCATTTTCATCATTCAAGTACTGATCACATCTGCTCACATAACAGCCCCTACCATAGCCATAAGGCCCAGGCCTAGGCTGTCTTCCACACCCTTGATAACATGGGCCCCCAGTTTGGCCTTCGTGGCATTGTCCACAACAATATCCTGGGGGCGGAGGGACCAATCTTCCATACCATTGATAACATGGGCCCCTGGTTTGGCCTTCGTGGCATTGTCCACAACAATATATGTGTGGCGGTTGTGGGTATTCTTGAATTAGCATTGGCATTACGAGAGCAACTAGTTTAGGTTCAGGAACTTCTTCAGGCTTTTTGAGCTCTTTAGGTTTTTCAATGATAACAACCTCAGGCTTTTCAATGATGACAACATTAGGTTTTATGGGCTTTGTAGGCTCTTTAATGATGACACCATTAGATTTTATGGGCCCTATAGACTTTTCGGGGTCTTTGATTTCAATGCTTTTTATTACTCCACATCCTTTACTACACAATTTGTCACGAAGTTTTTCAGGATTACAACAAACCGCAGTGATTGTGACTGTATTGCCCTTCTCATCATATACTTGGTCTCTAATTTCTATTCCCAAAAAAAAATTGAAACCACAAAAAAAAAAAAAAGGAAAAAAATCAAATTAATTCTTATTCATGTTATAATTATATTGAATAATTCAAGAAAAAAGAAACTTACGAGGGAATTTACAGAGAATTTTTTTGACCTTTTTGTAGCAGTTTGAACATTGAAGATCAACCTTGAGTACCATGATAGCGGTCTGATAATTAAACAATAAATTGAAGTAATTGTAAGCACACAATTAATCAAAGCTCTTATAGAAAGATTTGTGAACAATATTATGCAAGAATGAACTAAATTATTTTGTATTTGTGGAAGTGAAAAGATACAATAGGAGAACAAAAATTCAGAATCTATTTAAGTGCGATTATATAATCAATCATATGTATTAAATTCTTGATCAAACGTCATATAGCTATAGATAGATAGATCATAATCTTTTTCGAATACAGAAAATTAGTGAATTCATACCTTTTCACCCCCCATGGTTGATACTTGAAGAAAATGGATTTTGTGTGGAGTGAAAAGAGTGTAGCTTTCATGAAAATATATACTAGTATGCATGAAACGTCAAAAATTCATGATAACATCTAAATTGGCAGCCACTAGAATTGCTGACTATATATATTCTCTCAATTATTTGCATGTACTGACTGCCTTTGATGGTCACATTTCACCTTCCCTTTCATACCAAGCAATTATATTCTCTTTTGATTTCTCATTCGATGTTCGATATTTACATCGAAGTCGATTAAATTTTATTTGTGGGAACAACCCTTCCAACAAGATTTTTTTATTTTTACAAGAATTTAAACTCAAGACCTCTAATTAAAGATAGAGGAAACAATCAATATTAATACCAAAACACATATTATTTTCAACTGTTTTTTCTAGATCTACATAATCAATTACAGGTAAATTTTATGACGATAAGCATAACAACATGATAAAATGAATGGAAATTAATCAATTACTACATATTAAATTAGAATATTAGGAAGGGAAAAAAAGAATCTTCACATTTTATCATTAATAAGCAGGGAGATACCTTTTGAGTTCAATAGAATTAAATAATTTTGATCCAAATCATTTATATGTTTTAGGAAATTTATTTAAACATTTATCTAAATTGATTGGCAAGGGCGACTCTAATAAATCGGTGGTCTAAAGCCAAATCCGAATGGAGGCCTTAAATTTGAATATATATTTTTTATGAAGTTTATTATAGTCAATTATTTAATCTTTCTTGAGATATAATATTCATAATTTGTCAAACTTCTATTACTTCTTTGCTCTTTTATAAAAAGTTTTTATTTTCTACAAATAATACTCGATATTTTTAAAAAAAAAATACTTATAACCTATTTATTTTTTTTAAATGAGGCCCCTCAAATTTTGGGGCCTAAGGCAATTACTTTTTTTGCAAAGCTGTAGCGCCCCTGTAGATTGGGTTGGTGCACTGCTCCCACATGGTGCCTAACTCTATGGGCGCGTTTGGCCATAAATTTCCCAAATAATATTTGGGAAAAAATTTGTCAAATAGTGTTTGTCCATACAATTTGCTATTATTTGGCAATATTTTTGACAAATATCCCAAATTTCCAAATACTAGTTTTTCTAGTATTTGGGTCAAATCTCATTATTGGGATCTTTTGAAAATTGAAATTTTACACCAAACTTTTATCTTTTACAAAAACACCCTCTATAGTAGTTGTTTGCATTGTAGTACATGATTTTTTACGTGAATACCAAAGTAGTGATGGAATATTCAGTGAATATGAAAGTGATGATATGGTTGTTGATGAAAATGATGAATAATCGGTTTAGGGTAACAAAGTCATGTGCTTTGTCTACTTCACGAGCACCTTTTTGAGTGGGTAATATATCAAAAGAATCGAAACTTCGAGGGAAGCTTATATCTAAAATTTAGGGCAATTTGGAGAAGATTTAGAGTGGTTTCGCATCAAATTTCAGAACAATGGAACGAAGAAGATGAAGAACATGAACTTTTTAGATTCGCTGGAAGTTGTCCGGTTATTAAAATTAGTAGTGGATCTGTTAGGAATTAAATATTGGATAAAAAATTATCTTAGTATTCAAAGTTTATTGAAGAAAATCATTTGGGTATCCCTGTATTAAGCTTATCCAAGCTTAAATTTGCTTTGATTTTAAAAAAAATTGATACATAAATTAAAGATTTTTGATATATAATTCTTGATTGTGGAGAGTAATGGGTGAAATTGCTATAAATGATTTGTGGTGTATCATTAATGTAGTGATAGCAATGGTTTCAAGATAGTGAAGAAATTTGGTGCTGCCATTGAGTCCAATTGCTATGAAGAAGAAAAAAATCAAGAAAAAGAAGAAGCAAAAGGATACATATATTTAAGAAAATAAAAATAAAAATTTAATATTGGTTTTTGGTCTTCTTCACTCTCTTTAAGAGAGTGAGATACACTCACTTTGCCAGGTAAGCGTTTAGGGAGGTAATAATTCCAATTTTAAACAATTCAGGGGGGTGATAGGACCCCGTAAACTTGAAGTGTGTAGTTGGTAATTCGAATATAGGTTAGGGGGGCATTTGACCATTTTCTCAACCGTAGTTTGTAATGTATTTCTTATTGTCATAGTTTCAACAATAATTAACTTCCTAACCGATTGTGTTGGAGAGCCAAAAGAATGAAACATCAAACCACGAGTTGTTTTTCAAAAAAAAAAAAATCCCAAATATTGAAGACTTATAACTCTAATTCTAGAACAATTGGGCGTAATTAGTCATACAATACTTTTTTTTCTCCAACCAAAATAATAATCTTATAACTTATTATATGTGGAAACTTAAGTATCTTAGTTGAGTGATACACAAATTGGAATTAGAAGGATATTCAATTGAACTTGTTAAATTTTTTGAGAAATTAGACCACTAGTAATGTTGAAAAATGACATTTATTAATCAATCAAGGCTTTGCCAACAATCTAGTTAACAACTTTTATTCTATTTAACAAAAGAAAATTGACTATACATTGTTTATCATTTATAACAATTTGTAAAGAAAAAACGACAACCACATTAATAGAAGGGCCCACATTGATGAGCCCAGACATTGAACCATAGCAATTGGGCCACCTTACATAATTGAGCAACCATTAGCATTTTCATCATTAAAGTACTGCTCACATTACAGCCCGTACCATAGCCATAAGGCACAGGCCTAGGCCCAGGCCCATAGTTATCGTAACATGGGGCGGAGGGACCGGTCTTCCATACCCTTGATAACATGGACCCCAGTTTGGCCTTCGTAGCATTGTCCACAACAATGTCTCGGGGGCGGAGGGACTGGTCTTCCATACCCTTGATAACATGGGCCCCCGGTTTGGCCTTCGTATCATTCTCCACAACAATGTCTCGGGGGCGGAGGGATCGGTCTTCCATACCCTTGATAACATGGGCCCCCCGTTTGACCTTCGTAGCATTGTCCACAACAATATCTGTGTGGCGGTTGTGGGTATTCTTGAATTGGCATAGGCATTACGGGCTCTGGTGCTGGTGGTGGAGCAACTGGTTTAGGTTTAGGAACTTCTTTGGGCTTTTCGGGCACTTTGGGCTTAGGCTTCTCAACTTCTTTTGGCTTTTCAGGTGTCTTAGGTTCGGGCTCTTTGGGCTTTTCGGGAGGTTTGGACTTTGGAGGGTCTTTGATTTCAATGCTCTTGATTACACCATATCCTTTACTACACAATTTGTCACGAAGTTTTTCAGGATTACAACAAACCACAGTGATTGTGACTGTATTGCCCTTCTCATCATATACTTGGTCTCTAATTTCTATTCCCAAAAAAAAATTGAAACCACAAAAAAAAAAGGAAAAAAATCAAATTAATTCTTATTCATATTATAATAATATTGAAGAATTCAAGAAAAAAGGAACTTACGAGGGAATTTACAGAGAATATTTTTGACCTTTTTGTAGTAGCTTGAACATTGAAGATCAACCTTGAGTACCATGATAGTGGTCTGATAATTAAACAATAAATTAAAGTAATTGTAAGCACACAATTAATCAAAGCTCTTATAGAAAGATTTGTGAACAATATTATGCAAGAATGAACTAAATTATTTTGTATTTGTGAAAGTGAAAAGATACAATAGGAGAACAAAAATTCAGAATATATATAAGCGTGATTATATAATCAATCATATGTATTAAATTCTTGATCAAACGTCATATAGCTATAGATAGATCGATCAGAATCTTTTTCGAATATAGAAAATTAGTGAATTCATACCTTTCCACCCCCATGGTTGATACTTGAAGAAAATGAATTTTGTGTGGAGTGAAAAGAGTGTAGCTTTAATGAAAATATATACTAGTATGAATGAAACATCAAAAAGTGTTATGAAGAAAAAAAAAAAAAAAAGGAATAAAGTAGGAAAACATCTTTAAAATTAAATGAAAGTTAAAATTCATGGTATCATCTAAATTTGCATGTACTGCCTTTGATGGTCACATTTCACCTTCCCTTTCATACCAAGCAAATATATTCTCTTTTGATTTCTCATTCGATGTTCGATATTTATATTAAAGTTGATTAAATTTTATTTGTGGGATGACCCTTCCAACAAGATTTTTTTCATTTTTACAAGAATTAAACTCAAGACATCTGATTAAAGATGGAAGAAACAATCAATATTAATACCTAAGACATTATTTTTAACTGTTTTATCTAGGTTTACATAATCAATTAGAAGTAAATTTTATGATGATAAACATAACAACTTGATAGAGTGATTGATGATTAATTTGTTATAACATGTTAAATTATAATACTAGCAAGGGAGGAAAATAATCTTTACATTTTATCATTAATAAGGGAGGTACTTTCGAGTTCTGTAGAATTAAACAGTTTTGATCCAAATAATTATTTATATGTATTAGGAAATTTATTTAAATATTTATCTAAATTGGTTGGGTTGGTGTACCACCCCCACATGGTGCTAGCTATATGTAGGCATTCAATCTTTAATTTGACATTAAATTTTACCTAATTTGTAATCATAAATCTTTTCCACTTTTTTGTCTTCTACAAAAGAGACTAAATGAAGATGATTGAACATAGTTGACACATATAATAATGGACTAATTAGAAAAGTTGTAAGTGGAAAATGATTAATTGTGGTGTGTCGGTTAATGTGCATGTATCACAATCAATTTTAAAGGTATATGTTATCTCTTATCAACACATGCACCAAGTAAGTCTTCGACATATATATGAGAAGAAATCACATTGTTTTTTTTTTATTGTCTCCATTACAACTCCTGATTTTCAACTCAATTTATTGACTACTAGGTCACACCTTGAAGGTCTAACCCCGTGACCTTATTGATAGTTTAGAAAAGATCAAATAATTTCAAGAAACGAATCCAAGATTTGAAGTTTATGAATTCATCCTATATCAATCTGAAATTAATATTTAATATAGTAATTGGTCCATAATTATATATTTAGTAAATTAATAAATAAAACCAAATTGATAGCGATGATATAGAAAAGTCAAA